TTGAAGATCAAGGCAGTCTGTATCCGGTTCTCAAATCTAGTAATACTGAATACTGTTTCTTCGCAAGTTCGCATTGCAGTGTGTAAGTGCTTGTTTCGAAACCTGTGTGAAGATGTTGTTGTTTGAAAAATATTATCCTGAACATGAGGATCCCCGAAGGCAAAATATGTGGATTGTGAACCCTTTCGTTGAACACAAAGAGACAGCCCTTTCCCATGAAGAAACCCTTCAACTTATTGAATTATCATCGGACAAAGGACTGGAAAGTACTTTTAATACGAGTAATTCGAAATTCTGGATAAGAATGAAAAATTAATATCCAAATTTACATGAAATAGCAGTGAGGTTTCTTCTTTGTTTTTCCACCACATATCTTTGTGAAACTGAATTTTCTGCCATGACTGTGCTTAAAACGAAACAGAGGAACTGCCTGCAACTTTCTGTCTCTGTTTGGCTCTCACTTCAATTCATCCCAGAATTATTAAGCTAATGGATGGAAAACAGAAACAGAACTAAAACTTTCCAAACTCAGTTGTGATAAGAGAAACTAAGTTTAACTTTCCAATAACTTATAATTGCTGTGTTAAAGTGCTGCGTCTTTAAAATCAAAATATGAATTAGTTTTGGAAGTAGTGTTTAGAATTGAGAGAGTCATACATTTTTATTTATCAAATTACATACTTTACATATATAATTATTTGGCGTGTGTATGTGATAATAAGTGTTTCACCGGCAAGTTGACATCCTTCTGCTTCTTCCCCTACTCAGCTGACTTCTATGGTGAGTTACAATGCATAAATATTTTTCTCACTGCCGTTTTTTTTCAAATCAACATCATTAAAATCAATTTAATAATACAATAATCAATTTTACGCTGAATAACATAAGTTTTTGGTGATCAGCATGGGATATGTCAATGAAAATTAGCACAAATTAATTTAATGATGTTGGTCTGAGGAAACTACAAAATGCTACAAGATTTCATTAGTCCAGTGATTGATAACTAATTTAAATATAATTTTGTATTTGTCAACATGCCACACCGTATAAATAAGTATACATGAACTTTAACAAAACTGGAAAGGTATTTACGAGTATATTTGTTGGAACTGGGCCCTCGTCTTATAAAAAAAGAACTTACTGGGCTGCGGTCTCATAAAGGTTGAGAAGCACTGCTATGGACAACCACCACTTCACATTTGTCACAGAGTATTTATTCTCACCTCTGAAGCATCAAAAACATCTTGAATAGGCACATTTGAATGAATTATGATGCCGTTAACAATCAGTGTTCTGCTTGTATGTTGTTTCCTGCTTACATGCTGACCTCTACGTAGAGTGTCATCCACTACTATCTCTCCCTCACTGCAGAGACACTGAAATATGTGCAATAATCACTGTTGCTATATACTGGACACGTCAACTCATAAACACATTGTTTTCATAATGCACAAAGATTGCAACAGTGAATGCATAGATGTGATACAACAAAAACACATCTACAAATCCATAGCAAAACAAACATATAAATGCATGAAATAATAAATGTACACAAAAAAATAATACCTGGCTGAGATTCTGATCAGACCCTTCCCAAATACAAATCAGAAGCAGCATAGCACATTTCAGAGGTTGCGGCCATGAAGCAGAAACCAATTTTCATCTTCTCCTCTCCATATACACCATATATGTCTTGGATAGTTCATCCATCCAACTGGTCACATCACCTCTAGATATGACGCCAGTAACCAAACAAATTGTGTAACAGTAGTAGTATTTCTGCACCTTACTACTAATTACATTGCAAATAGCCTCTGAATAGGTGCAGATTACAGTGTTGTCATATCACAGAAGACAGGAACAAAATCTTTTTTGACAATGCATGTGTTTAAACGATCTGCTGAGGGCAATGACTGAACCCAAAATGAATATGTAATGACAGAGCAGGTACTGGCAACACAGCACATCTGTTCAATTCACTCCCTAACTAATGCTCCACCTTTTAACACACACTGCAGCAGAAGAGTGGACACAGCTGTACCACTTGAACAAACTTGCTCAGTACTTACATGTGTCTCAAAGCAGTGGCACTTCCATACTTCACCCATACTGTGACTTCCTGTCTGACAGGAGCAGCTGTGTTCCTCAGGAAAAAACTCCTCCACACTGCAAGATCTATAGGACACCAGCTGTTCATCATCTGAAGGTGATACCTGCTCCTGTAACACACACATTCAATAAGTATGGACATGACTCAACACACCCACTCATCATCTGCTGGTTTGTGCCAAGTGAAAAATCAAGGATGACAAGTGAAAAAGTCTTTGAATTAAAAGATTTCTATCTTTATGGGTATAAAAACATGTAGTTCAGTGAAAGTCAACTGACATTCTGTAGGAATGTATCACCTCCATCTTCAGGGTCAAACACCAAGCTAAGCAAGAGAACAGACTGAAGCCAGTAGCAAGCAGAATTCTGCTGCAGAAATCTTTATAGTCATTGGTGTGAGACACTCAAATCCAGCATCTTTGATTTTCTTTTCCACTTGCTGTTGCTATTTCATGTGTAGAACCACCTTTGGTGGACTGTGGAGGTATCAAAGCTGTTCAGTATGGGGAGAGTTCAGATACACATTCTAATGTTTTTCAATGCACTTTAGAAATTTGTGTTTCAGCTCAGGGATACAGAATGCTCCACTGCAATGAGGAACTCCATAATTTATATTCTTCACCAAATAATATTAGACCACCAAATCAAGGAGGATAGGATAAGCAGGACATGCAGCACACATGGAAATGAACAGAATTCATGCAAAGTTTTGTTCAGACAACCTCATGAAAAGCGACAACTTGGAAGAACTAGGCATGGATAGGAGGATAGTACTGAAACATATCTTAAAGATATAGGATGTGAAGATGTAGACTTGATTCATCTGATTTATGACAGGGTCCAGTGGTGGGCTCTTGTGAATGTGGTATTGAATCTTTGGATTCCATGGAAGACAGAAAATTTCTTGATTATCTGATTATCAAGACAGAAAATTTCTTGATTATCTGATTATAAAGACAGAAAATTTCTCGATTATCTGATAATCTCATGGAGGATTCTGCTTTTCAGAGCAAATCATATGAACTTAAGAAGATTAACTGTATGCTGTAAGATTAACAGATCAAAGCAATATATACTTACACTGGATACAGATGGAGTTCTATGAGTCATCTCTGTAATGTTTGCATGGGGACTTGGGGAAGCTGAAGAGTAAGGAACTACTTCCTGCTGGATGGGTAACATTTCTTGCTGTATAAGTGATGAAGAATTACGCTCATCATGCAAATGACTTTGTCCACAAGCTAGCAATCTATGTTTATTTTCCTTTATTTTCTCTTTCTTTTCACTGTGGAGTCCTGTGAGTTCTGCAACAGTGTCTGTTTGAGTTTCAGTGTCTGTCCTTTTAATGCCGTTTGCTGGAAGCACAGTGTCCAGTGGTTCAACTTTATTTTCCGCAGAATGTTGCCTTTCAGGATGTATTTTGGACACACCATCTATTGTTCCGGTTTGTTCAGGTAATGTTGTTTGCTGTCCCATGGACTGCATGTTAGTGATACTTCTAGCAACCTCTGTCTTGTGCAGAGCTGTTCCATTCAATTTGTTTGCAACTTGGACACCACATATATTGGTATCGGTGCAGTTAGCTTTATGTGGAGGTACTGCAGACATTGGAGACAGAAAAATTACAGGTGAAGTACTTTTATTTAGGGATTTCTCACTTGGAATAGTAATGGTGGATGGAACATTAACAGGAGATGAATCTCCGTCTACACATGTTTTTTCTGGAACGCTAATAGATGATGATGATGATTTGTGTATATGTTCCACAGAATCATTAGAAGATGTCCCTCTTCCCATAGGATTCTCAGTTAGAATGTCAATGGGTGATGATCCTTTATCCACAGATTTAAAAGGTAGAATATTAAGAGATGAAATTTCATGATCAATGTACAAAAATTTCTGGTAATGTTCCTTGTTAGAAGCCTTCACAGGACAGACAGTAGGTGTCTGAGACATAGCCCTATGTGGTGTAGTCTTTTCACTTGTTTCAGTTGGATCTGTGATATTTGTACAGGGAGAATGGCATGGCTGCTCCAGCAGTAGCTCTGGTGGCTGCAGAGACAAGGCAGCTTCATCAGCAGACCTTGCTATGTCTTCTGAATCTGTTCCTGTACAACAAGAAAACAGAAGTTTCAGTTCTTGACCAGGATTTTACTTTTGGTGAAGTGTCAAGTGCCAACTTACAACTACTGAAAGGTGAAAATGGCTTGTCAGAATCATGTAGATGCTCCAAATCAGTAGAAAACCCTGAAATCATGAACATGACAAGTATGAATCAACAGCATCTTGTACCAACTCATAGCTGGATGGAGAATGCCGTTCTGGGGAACTATGATTTTGAGAATCACCTGTGGTGCATATGGAAATAGATTTGTATCATAAATGTCAACTCCTCTTAACACAGCCTTGCTACAATGTCAATCTTGTTTCAAGTTCATAATTACACCTAGGAAATACAATGCATTAATAATTTTACCACCAACAATATTTCTTCATCTTCTGTGGGAGCTATAGTCCATAACCAACATTCACCTCTTTTACAATTGCCCACCACTGGTCCCAATCCTGTGACCTTCATCACTATTTCTAATGCCCATTGTCTTCAAATCTTCTTCATCTGAATGCAGGTGTGCCTACTTGTCGAGTAACCTCTGGTTCATGTAATGTTAACCAGCAAGAGTTCTGCTCCTGCATTCTAAAAAGGTATCCCAGCCATCTCAACCACACTACTTTGATCTCTTTCAATATATATGGTTCATTATATAATTTATAAATTTCATGGTTATATCTTGATCTCATACATACATATGTACATACATCAGCATTTCAGAGTATTCAACTGGCACTGAATATAAAACTTGTCAAACAACAGAATTTCCTTTTATTTGGTTATTATTATTAAGGACTAATGGAGAATTATTTAATTTACTTAAATAGTGACAAAATGTCATAACTTAACAAGGATGATGAACTGAACAATGTATTTAGATTTTCTGTTCTAAATTATTTTGTCAGCAACAGCTTGATGTTTTAGCTTAGTTGGTATAGTGACTAGGCTATGAGCTGGTTGAACAAGGAATCAGGAGTCAGTTCCTGAGGACAAAAGGTTTTTATCTTCTCCATAGCATCCAGACTAGCTCTGGGGACCAAATAGCCTCCTACACAATGGGTATCAGAGGCTCTTCCCCCAAGGCTAACGTAGGAGGGGAGTGAATCTGACCACCCACCTCCGTCTAATGGTGGGGTTAAGAATGGGGGAACTACACCTGCAATTCCCCATACATACAAGTATTCACTGTGTGATGCTTAATGAATTAAGCATAGAAACAACTTTACCTTTATCTTACATCAAGAATTTTGGTCAAAGCACTTTAAATCACCCAGTATATTTCCAGAGAATTAACTTGCAGCAATGAATGAAAGCAACAGATGAAAGGAGTATAGAGAATTTGCTTTGGAATTCAATTTGAAACATGACCTCCATCCATCTTGCTCATTGCTTGTTCATTTGGTAATGAAAATAGCTTACCTGATACATTTGGAATTTTTTTACTTGATTGTGACTCATCATCCATCCCTTTTCTCTCCTCTTCAGAATCCTTTTTCTCTGGTTCCTCCTCCCAGTCATCCTCATAAACATAATCATCTTCATTCACACTTATGTTATCTGCCAATGATGTTTCTCCTACCTGCAATATCATTAAAAATAGCTAGGGAGTTAATCCTTAAATATATTACATCATAATACTTTTAACATCAGTTTCAATAATTTAGGAGGGCATGAAAAAAGAAAAAAAAAACACACATTTCTTTCTTACATGTAACTTGGGCTCCCTAGTGTTAAACACAGAGCCCAAATTTAATTCAGCGTATGGCATATGTACACATATTTTCAGATTTGATGTTCTCATTGCAGTGAATTTTTAACAAGTTTACAACCATGCCCCAACACTTGAATTTCATATATTGGGCCAGCCATTTTTTAAGAAAAAGAAAGAAGGGGTTTCAACTTATTGTATTTGAAAACGGAATAGAAGTAAACAAGTGAAAAACAATCAACAATAACTGTACAATTTAACTCTGAAAGTTTTTCTGCATTTGAGTGACATCTGTAAGAGAAAGCTACATTTACACACATAACAGCAACAGCCTGTCACTTAATGGGATCAGCATGGGCATGAAGTAAACTCCATCCTGTAAGGTGATGGGACTAGCAATAAATGTGTTAACAAGATGGCTTTCTGGGATGTGATGCTGTGTAGTATAATAAATAGGTATCAATGTTCTGGAGGAACCTGTTGCCTCCATGTTCAGGGCAGGGACTTCTGAAGATGGAAGTAGTATATTTCTGTATAAAATTGAACTGATGCTAGATGGAGAACAAAATTTCTAAAGACTGTCATCATGCTTGCAATTTACCTTGGGTTCAGCTGTTGATGGCACAAAAGGCACTGGACTCATATTCTTGTCAGCTTCCTCTCCAACTTGTTCAAGCAAGTCTTTAAGAAGTTCATCTTCCATTCTGTAAGAATAAACATTTTAAAAAGTCTATGCAGTATGTAATATTTATGTGTAACTCAAAAGTTAGAGTTCAGTGACAATCATAATCATCACATAAAAATTCACACATACATGACTATAACAATCTTCAATATGGTTCTCCAAATAGCTAATCATGATGCATACTTATACAGTATTTATCATTCCACTGAACAGTGTACGAAACATGTCAAATAAGCGAGGAAAGAGAGAGATATTATACACCACCAAAATATTCCACAAAGAATTCATAGTGGTATGTGAGATTTAAAGTGCCCATGTGATAAGTATCATGATTATGGTTTGGTAGACAGGTACCAACACTTCTATCCTAAAGACTGAGGCAGCAGGTTCCTTAGAAACACTGGTACCTATCTACCAAACTACATGGCACTACATCCCAGAAGACAGTAACAGTTCTGTTCATGACTTACTTGGTCACAATCACTTCATAATGTTTCTCCTCATCATTATTATCCTTAGAATTCATCTTGCATCCAGAAGACTTCTCAGAGACAGCAGTTGCTCCTTGAGACTGCTTCTGTTTGTTAACATTTGCAACTTTCTGAGTCTGAGGAGGTTTTCCCCTAATATAATTACCGTCCAAGCAATGTCGGGGATATTCGCGAGTACTGTGTCTTGTGCTGTCATCAACAACTCCTGTGTCAAAACGAGATTCTGTTCCATGCTGCCAATTACAATGGGTACAAGTGACTTTCCTTATGGTTGTAGCATGTTGCTTGGATTTAGAAGTGCTGGACTTAGACTTGTCTGCTGCCTGAAGATTCTCAGAATGATAATCAAATAGGTATTTATGATGTTGTCTAGTTTTAGAAGGTGCATTTTTGAAAATGCTACCATGGTCAAGGCTCTCATCTCTGCTACCAATCTTGACTCTTACATTTTTATCAGATATCGATTCAGATATATCATCATAATTATCACTATAAACCCTACTTGATGATTCATCTGTTTCATCTCCTGGTTCAAGTATCTTGGAGAGAGGTCGTGACAGATCATTTGAATCACTCCCACTCTCATCTCTATTATTTTTACCTAACTGATGATGCAGCACAGTGTTAATAATTTGTAAGTGTGATCCATATTCTGTCTGAACCCACTTTGGGTTTTCTTTTACCAAATTTTCAGCTGCTGCCTCAACTGCAGCTACCTTAAGTATATGGTTCTGTGTTTCATTTAATTTAAAAGCAGATGGGTATGTTCTTGAATATCCTCCAATATCTTCAGAAACTTCAACTTCTGTGTCAGCACTTTTGTTGCCACTCTCTGTATCCTGTTCATAACCACTACTATCATTAGTAGCATTACCTCCATCATCATTGCTAACACTGTCATATGCTGCTTGCTCTTTCATGTGACTACACCCATTACTATCACTGGAAGTATCTTCTTTGTCACTATTTTGTGTATGAAAAGATAAATGTTCTCCATCTTTTGCCCCAGAATATAATGTTGTTCGGTGCTTATCAGCTGTTCTTATCATGGCACAGGATTTATGATAGTCCCTGGATTCCAGTTCCTCTGATGGAGTCTCTTGCAATTTGATTGCCTTTCTCTCAGTTTGTTTTGGTACACCTAAAGGTTCTTTAATTGACTTGTTTTCATTATCATTTAAATATTCTTCTATTTCAAAATGTACTTTGGAATTTATCCCTCTATTCTTTCTGGTTGTGTCATCTGCAACAAAATCTGTTGATTTTACTGTGGTTCCTAGGACAGTGCAACTCTCTCTCTTCTTATTTGCTCCAGGCAAAGGACAGTTTTCTTTCTTATTTTGAACTGATGTATTTTCTCCAGTAGAAAGATTTTCATTTAGGCATTGTGCCTTGCTGATATCAAAAAATATTGGCATTCCATCAAGTACTGTATTTAAGATTCTATCCTTTGCAGGCCCTTGATGAGATGGATGTACAAGTACACATAACTTATCTTTCTGTGTGTCGGATTTAATCTTGTCACAACATTGATTACAAGTTCCATTACTATATTCAGTGCTTATAACACTATTCAGACATACTTTACACTGCAATAAGCGCATTTCTTTTTTCACAATTTGACAATGAATGCAATGGCCATAAAACAATTCAGACTGTGGGAAATGCTTGAAACAGGAACTGCACGGTGTCAGATGAGCTGCGGCTTTTACTGCATCAGATGTTGAACCATGCATCAGCTGATTTGCATCATGAACTGAGGATGGAATATTACAGCATTTGCCACATACTCCATAAAATAAATCACTTAATGGAAAATTATTTCCACATCTCTTGCACAGAAATTGATACTGTTCTGTAGATGCTGGCTCCACCAGGCTTCCACTCGAACACCTAGGAGGTTTTGTTTTGTGAGATTCATTTTCTGTTGGCAACTTCTTCAAGATATTATGACATTTACTATAGCATGTGACACAATGTCCACATTTCATTTCATCTGTGAGGAAATAGCCTTCACATTCATTACATTTCCCACTTCTTGAACTCACTGCTTGAACTGCTTGGAACTCTAAGTTCTTATGAATACGCTCTTTTGACACTCTATCCCTCTTGTCTAATTCAGATGAAGCACGTGAACCTTTGTACATTCCATGTCTCTGATGAGTGTTTTTTCTAGTTTCTTCCAGTTTTCTGCGTTCAGCTTTTAAACCTTTCTTATCAGCTCTTTTCTTATGATCACATAACTCTGAGGTACGGTCACATAAGTCCAGCAGTATGTTACTGTGTGATATTTCACATAATCCAACGTTCTGTCGTGGTGGCACATATGGCTGGGCATCAGGGGGTGGAATCAAAACACTAGGAGCTTTCTGAATTGACAGATTTCGCTTGATTGTTAAACTAGGCAATGCTTGAACTACTAACCTCGTACCCAGTTGTGGGTCTCCATTTCTTACGTTCTCCTCTGAAGGAAACGAATCTTTCAAGTTTATGACTGCTGAATTACAAAGGTTTGTAGGCACCTTACTTACATCACAATTGCATACATTTGTATGATGGCTAGAAATATTTTCATTATGGTAAGAAGGTTTCAATACTTTTGTGTCAGTATTTCTAAAAGTAGCTGAGTGTTCAGATACCAGTTTCCTTTGCCTTCTCTTCACTTGTGATTCCACAGCTGTCTGTGAATGGATATTCTGCAACAGAGACTTGGACAACTGATTTGTGCATACATGTACATCTGAAGTTCCTACATAAGAATGCTCAGAGCTCAGAGAGAACTTAGGAATGCTTGCATCATTTGTTATGTCAACAATTTGGTCATTTGCCAAACTCTGTGACACACCTCCAGGTACCTGAATACTGGGTGTGTGTGAAGTTAAATGTATGCCATTATCAATTTGTTCCAGAGATTCACCCTGTCTTCTTTTGAACTTCAATTTATTGGGTTTCCCAGATTCTATTCCTGATTTATGGAACTGTATTTTTTTGCCTTCTCTTCCTGCCATAACCTCCAAATGAGCAGATACCCCTTTTGCTGTACTCAGACCCCCCTGCAGACTGGCTTGTGTTCTATGCATTTCATTCAGGATATCACTGTTGCTTGGATGGTTATTAGTAATATGTGGCTGTTCTGTAAAGCTCCTGGGCATCTTTCTTGTCTTATTCTGTACTGGAATGCTTTTCTTATTTATAAACTCTTTTGGATGAAATTCTTTCGGTTTCTTCTGTTTACTGGAAGACAATGGGCCTGACTGAACATGTGTCTGAAACATTAATAACACACAATCAGTAAAACATAAATTAATATGTTATTGTCTGAAATAATACACTTATTTCTTCACTTTAGGTTACCTCATAAATTATATAATGTACAGTATTCACCCACAAGTATTTTAATTTATTCTGCATTATGAAACCAAATTCTAGCCAACTGGTGGCACACTGGCCACATGTAATTTACCAGCTCATTCTCTGTAGCCTGCAAAAGCGATGAGAAAATTATTTTACTGTGTGAGATTAGCGGTTCTCATGGCAGTGACTATGACAAGTATCTATGGGATGTATGCTGTGCAATCTGGTAGAAGTTTACTGATAGGTCAGAATAATGTGTTCCTTCCATCTTCACAGTCAAAGAGCAACCCAGGCATCAAGCAAGCAGACTTACTGTTACTCCTGTCTGTGTTTACTCTTCAGCACTGAAGATGGAAACAGTAAATTTTTCTGGCATGCTGGTAAAGTTCTACAAGACCATATGGGATCACATTCCAAAAGATAGTAGTCTTCATACTTTGTTGTATTCCTTAGTTATTAGCCTCCTGTCTAATAGCAAAGGTGTACTCTACCTTGGGATGAAGTTCTATTGCTAAGGATAATATGTTGATGTCATTACCTTGGGGTCTGACTGAGTTCCTTGAACAACAGCAGGGGTCAGATCTCCTCCATGATGTATGTTGTCATCACTGTTAAAAATCAGTGTAAGAATATAATAATAAAGTATGACATATATTAGATGAAGTGGGAACATTTGTCTGCTTACTGCTATCACATTTAACCCTTTCTGTGCCAGATTCCATTCAAAGAACATTTCTTTTATTAGTGGGCTTGGATGATAATACATAAGTTATTTCATTTAAAGATCATGAATACTTTGACATAAATACTGAGAACTGGAAGCTTAATGTGACACAAATCCAAATACCACATTTACAACTACAACTTTTAATAGCTGCCATATTTAAACCTTTCATCTAAAAACAATAGCAGTTAATAAACTTCACTTAAAAGTGGAAGCCAATCAATTCTTGCCTCCTTTAATCCTTTTAAGGGCAGTAGGGATTATATGTACCACCTGCTTTGACATTAAAAAGACTCAAACATTTTGTCCACATAGTATATTTACATATTTATTATGATTCCCACAGTGAAAAACAATTATTTCCTTAAATAGAATTAACTCATTGATCTCTGTAGGTAGATACTGATTTTTTTACATATTACTTACACAAATTTCATGCTTCAAAGACTGTTTCTAACTTGCTTTACATGTTGATAAAAATGTTAGCTTTTCAGTGTTACAAGACTGGCTTTTTCAAATGACACTCACACACACTGTGAATTTTAAAGCTCAGGATGAAAACTACCTCTTAAATTATAAACTCTGCTACAATAAAATGAATCCTTATCCAGCCAGCTACAACTATCAATATATTTATTACACAATATATATATGACCTAATCCTTCCGGCCACACTATGGCCCTGGGGCTGACTCAGCCTCTAACAGAAATGAGTACCAGGAATTAATTAAATAATTTTCCTGGGGAGTAAAGCGCGGCTGGCAAGTAAAGCTGACAACCTTACCGCCATCTTTGAGCCGATTGTCTAGATAATGTGGGACCCTCAACGTCTCACAACCTTATGGGTGTTCACATCCTGTTACAGGCTTTACTATATTGTGACATGTCGACCCCTACCTCCCCAGCGGTACGTGGCGGTAACGTAACGCTCGCGTTACTACGGTAATAGGCGAGTTCCCGCCCCGCCACTCCCC